CCCCCCCCCCCCCAACCTCTTTCGCGCAGCGCTGTTTATTATGTAGGAAATGAAGGGCTATATTTTTGAAAATCAAATATTACCGTAATAGGCTATACTCGCCTATAATTCGCACCAGTGGAGGGGTCGCGTCCTTAGTTTGGAGTGGGTATTTGTGGTTGAGCGGCAGATAAGTCGCACCCTTAATTTTAATTGGGAAGTTACATGGCCCTTTTAACCCAAATTCACCACAAAGATATTTCCGTAACCACTTGAAAACTAAAAAGAAATCGTCATGATTGCGTTATTTTAAAAAAGTATTTAAAAAGTTAATAAATAAAAAATGGGATTGCCCTCTTCTTTAGCGTAGGCGTAAGAAAGAGCTATCAGGAAAATTATTGTTCTCTGACTTTTCGTAAATTGAATACTCCACACTGAATAAGTTAACTATCTGTTATTAATCATTAATTAATTTAATGTCCTGTGGATAGATCGCACCCCTGATTTTTATTTTTAAAAATTGTTTTAAAAGAAGGTCTCCACATCACTGAGTTTTAGTTGCGCATGAAGGGGTGTGGAGTGGGCGATGGTGGAAGGGGCGGCAAAAAGATTGGCCTGCCCCGGGCGACACTAACCCTACCTACGCCACTGTGGAAATTACATAACTTATTTAACGACTATAAAAAACAATTATTCATTTAACCGTATAAATGATCAAGTCTTACAATGTACGTCATTTTAATAGTTAATTTTCAATGAAAAACATCAGTTTAAACGTACCCTTAACTATTTGCTAAATTAAATTAGAAACCAAAGAAATAACCAACTGGGATTCACTGAAGGCTCTTAATTGCAAGGCAGTGGTTTAAAACAGCAAAATGAGCCTCCCTTACTTTATTTATAGATATTTTCCGTGCCCGTGATAGGGATTTCGCCATTAATTAGTGATATTAATACTTGACTTGTGATATTTAAATTTAAGATTTCTTAAATAAATGAAATTAAATTTAATAAAAAAACAACAACTTGAATAAAACATTTGCTAGAGATATCTACTTGACAACAGCTGTAACTTATGTTAAAAGAAATGAGTTTCTTCAATTATTATTATTACTATTACTAATTAGTATAACTTTAACTATTACTACTAATTTTTAATTACAATTATTTCAATTATTGGATTAATAATTATGTAAGACTGATGACACTGATACTGATAAAATTACTAAAAATACAGCTCAAGCAGGTTAAGACAGACAACTTTTGTAGTAAGTAAACTCTGTGACTGTGAATAAAATTATAAACTTAAAATTCTAAAATCACCCACCAACACTAACACATCCTCATAATCATATTATTCATTATGTTAGCTCACTGCTACTCTACTCACTGCACTGTCCTAGATTGGCCTCAAGTTCATAGTTATATTAAAATTAAATATCAGTCAGTGTCTTAGTCATAGTGCCACTATTATTAGATTAACTATTTATGTGCCCATCCTATTATGCCTATACTATACTGTATACTGGCTCTACTTACTTATACTATACTGTATACTGGCTCTACTTACTTATACTATACTTATACTGACCTCAACTGAACTGTGTATACTGTATACAAAATATTAGTAAGGACTCTACTCGAACTCAAGCTAAGGCTAAGACTAAGAGCTAAGCTAAGGCTAAAGCTATATGGAACTATGGATGTGAAATTTTAATTTTTACCTGGATCTGTTAATTCACGAAGTAAGTTTTCTGTTTTTCTAATATTTTAAAAATTGCTTTTAACTTGCTTAAGGCACTTAAGCCTAATAAATTATTATGATTGGGGTCATTGAGTCATAGTCATTTTTGTGTTGACAGTTGAGTATGTCCCGGCACCGTATATACTAATATTTACTACCAATAGTTAATTAATAGTACTAGTAGTTGTAGTTGTAGTAGGCTATGCTATAACTATAAATTATAAATATAAAGAACTGGTAGAACTAATAACTAAGTCAATAAGTTAAGTCTAAGACTAAGTCATATCCCAATTGGCGAATTATGCAAATTATTTGATCATCGATAGTTATTACAGTCCGTCAGTACTGTTGTAGACTGTAGTCTGTAGTATCATTAATAATTAATGATACTGTCACTAGTAACTAATCATGATTTATGACTAACTAGTACAAAGTACAGTAACTTATCTAAAAAATAAATAAGAGATAAGTCATGACATGTTTGAGACATTTAGCAGATGATTATTGAATAATCATGAATAATTTATTCATTATATTATTATAATTATATCATTTATTCATTATTGATTAAAATGATTAATTTACTAACTAATCATAAGTATTTATTAATCATTAATTATTTTGTATTTTAGCAATTCAATAATTTCAATAGAGCTAATTAATGTATTAAGTAAGACAAATTAAGAGTAAGACTAAGACTAAAAGTAAAGATCAATGTCACTCATCATATCAGAGGATTATCTGTGCAGTTAAAAACAGCATTTCTGATTTCATTCATCGTGATTCAGTTGAGACAAAGTAAAATTATATAAATTATTAGGCCTTCTTCTTTCAAGTACTGACGGTTTTCCCTGCAGCTTCCAGCCACATTGTGATTGTCTATGTCTATATTATTAGCCTCAGTCTCTCAGTGTTTGGGATATCATTGGAATGAATTTATAATTTTTTGCCAAATAAATTACATTTATAGTTAAAAGAATGGCTGCTACAGGTAAAAATATAAAATGTCATGAAAGGGCCTATTAGTATTGGATTATTATAGTTAGAAAACTGACAGTCTATAGACTATAGCATAATTTACACAGGCAGCTCTCAATTTACAGACATTGGAGATATATTTTTGTTTATGTTTTTTTTTTTTAACTTAAAATAAAATGAACTATTTACTATTGCATCTTGCTGTTATTTTTCAATAGTATGTTTCTTTCGTTGTTTATATATGAAATAAAAACATACTTAATCAATATTTGATGGAATGATAGAAGAATTTGTCGTATATAAGTTAATTGTGTATATTTATGTTAATTGACAAATAATGAAAAAAACATATCACAAACAAGCTCTAGGAATGGCAATCCTTTGGAACTCGAGAACTGCCTTTAATATATTTCTTGGTTATAAATTATATGATGAAATTAAAATAAATATATTTACAGTACAGAATGCAGGTTTCCTCCATTTTGAAGCTCTTACTTAAAGTTGCAGCAAAGGCCTCACAGATAGCTTTAATTATTAGGAAGGAGAAACCTCTCGTGGAACTTTTAATAGAAGAAAAGATAGGACTAGAGAAAAATAACAGATTTTTTCAAGACTTTAAAACTTTAGCAGACGTTTTAATTCAAGAGACTGTTCGTCACTATATAAGTGAAAAGGTAAATAGTTTGTTTTTTTGGTTAGGCCTACTAAATTTCAAATGTTGTATTGACTAACATGTACATTAACAGTGTACAATTTAGAAAAGTTAAGATAATGTTGGTTTTAATAATTAAATATTTCAGTATTTGAGAATAATGCAGTTAATAATATGGGCTTATAATTATAAGGATGCCGGCTTATTGTTTTTAATTTTAATGAAATTCTGTTGTGGCTACATTATTTTTCCCCAGGTACCAAACATAGGAGCTAGTGTGTATGGGGAAGAAAGTAACAGATTTACAAATGCAGTTGGAGATTCAGTAGTTGTCAGAGTTTGTGGCACGTGTGAAGAGACCCAGGAGCTACTTAGTAATTACACTAATAATTTAGATATTAAGTAATTACACTAATAATTTAGATATTAAATCTTGTAGTTCAATGATTCATCTTTTAATTATCTAAAGTTAAAAGGTTCTTTTACCAAGTTGTTAACATCTACATATTGCCAGATAATGAATATCAGGCATGTATAAGAAAGCCAGATTGAGAGGATGGTCTCAGGCCAGATTAAGGACAAGAAAAGTCTGGTTCAAATCTTTACATTTTTTTCATATTTTCCTTCCCCGTTCACTTTTTATGGATGGATTGCTTTTATCATAAGATATTTTCAAGAAACTTTAAATGACAGCAAACCAATAGGTTTTTCTTTTTAAATAATAAAAAAACATTCAGACTGATAAGAAAACTCATTCTGATTGTACTCTACTATACTTAAAATTTTCCCATGGTCAAGTAAAACTTTGCAGGTTGGTTTGGGCTCATGGGGAGGGCTTTGCCATATTTCAGTTATTTACAGAAGTAATTCTCTTTCTATTAATTTACCTTACGAAAGAATTGAATTTTTTTTTGCTCTAAAAGTGTATTTACTGATTCATTAAGATGCACTCTAAAATGACTTTAACACTCTTAAAAATTCTCACTTCATGTATTAAGTATTAATTATTGGTACTTAATTGCTATTAACATGATTTTAGCAAATTAATTTTAATTTTCAACATTGAAAACAAACCACTGAAAAATCATTTCTTGCTGTTTGCTCTATTTCTAGAATGTCTTATAACAGTTTTTTAATCAATTTTTTTCTCAGAAAAGGTTTTAAATGGAAATAATGAAGCAGCTCTTCTGCTGGCTGAGGCAGTGCATCGCAACACTGATGATATTTCATTTGATGAGAATAGTTTTGATATTGATGTTGACACCTGTGACTGTGGGATATGGATTGACCCAATAGGTAAAAAAAGTTATTCTAAAAGTTTGACAGGCCTTGCTCTAAATTTACAGTGTACTTAACTTATAATACTTTGAGTTGTTTCAGCCTTTAAATTTTTGGCAGTATACAACCACTGAGCGATATATATATATATAAAGCTTAGAAATTCAATTGAACATGCAAAAAAAAAGCCGAATTATGCTGTAACTCTCTAAAGGTGTAAGTTAGAAGTTTTCAAAATGGAAAATCTCGTCTAAAAAATGTTATTAATGGAAAAAATTTTTTGGTCACATGTTCTTATTACATTATGTTTGAATGTCATCTGTACTGTTAAAATGAGGGATGAAAAAGTGATAAATTTTAGGAGAAAATTTTGATGATATGAAAACTGAACTTTTTCAGCAGCTGAAACGCAAATTGATGACAGAGATTCAATGATAAAAAATTCAATGTCTGAAATTAGACTTTTGGTTACTCAAATCTGAATGTTAAATTTAGCCCATGTAAATATATGGATTATATATAAACACATTATAGTAACGCTATATTGAAGGCTGAACATTCTCCGGATTACCTTACTTCTAGAGCAGTGGGTCCTTTAGTGAAGGGTTCTGCAATTTTTTGTGTGTGAGGAGCCATTTTATAAATTATATTATTTATTAAACATGCTAAGCTTATATTTGGGATTCTCATGTCATTATAAATTAGTAAAGAAACAGAGACTCATATATTCTTTCAAAGTTTCAAAGTGGCGCATGCGGTTTAGGAGCCCCAAGTTGCGGACCACTGCCTTAATTGTTTTCTGTAGACAATTTATGTAGCCTATCAAAAGGTCAAAAAATCTTTGCCTTCTCTAAACTTAAAATTAATATTTTCCTGTTTTGAAATCTCAATTAACATGTTATTTTTAGACCCATGGCAGCAGAACTTTGTTTTATTTCTGTTCCCTGTGTAAGAGACTGCTTGTTCATATAACTAGAGCTGTCAGTTATCAATGCTTAGCTTACAATGGAGTAGGTTCATTTTGGTAAAATTGAGTGCCCTTTCTTATTTTTATGACATTCGTGTTTTAAAAAGATTATTTATTGAACCCACATTGTAATTTAATATTTCATTTACAAAATCAAACAGTTATTATAATTTTTTTCTTTAAAGATTCAACTGGTCAGTACATAAAAGGACAGACGGGAGAAAAAGATGAATATGGAATGGTTGTTGATGGCTTACAATGTGTGGCTATTCTTATTGGAATGTTTGAAAAGTCATCTGGAAAACCCATTCTTGGTGTGGCAGTGCAGCCATTTGCTGAGTTTAATGAAGAGACCAATAAGTAGGTTAATATTGAACCCATTTTTTTCCCTCTCCCCTTTAAAAGAATGCCTTAATTTTTTATTTTTTTTTACATCCATGATGTTGCATTATTTTAAGACTAACATGTAACAGTTATGTTAAAATGGCACTTAATAGAAGAAAACTATTGTTACCTATTGATACAAATATAGAAAAAATTTGACATCAAAATATATTTATAATTAAAATTTGCTTAAGTTATGTAAATTATTTTTCACAGCTGGTCCTCACAGACTGTATGGGGTGTATGTTACAAAGGAGTTAAGATGACATCCTTGAAACCTGTTGTTGAAATACCCCGTGATGATGCTAGAGTTGTACTCAGTAACAGTGAGTCTGAGCAAGTACAAAACACACTCAAGTCAAAGTTTCATCTTGTCTTTGCTTCAGGAGCCGGATACAAAATCTTAGCCACTTTTTTGGGATTGTCCAATGCATATGTCCTCTCCCACCGCTCAATATATAGATGGGATTGCTGTGCTGGCCATGCCATACTTTTAGCTTTAGGGGGAGGCATAGTCAGCTATAAACATGCTCTAGAGGCTGCCAAAAAATCACCTTCCCCTTTAACAAAAGATGATCTGAATCAACTTCAGGTGAATTATGTGAGTGCAGCTGGAGCTATCAGTAGCAGAAGAAGCTCCATATCTGATGGTACAGAGAGCTTGCCAGGTATCATTGCCTATCGTTCAGTGAATGATGCACTAATTATTCTCGAGTTGCTCAAAATCTAGATCTGATATTTAGATTTTATTGTGTACTGTTAACTAGTTAGTTTCCTTCTGTTGTAAGCTATTTTTATTATCCAAAACTAAATATTTATCTATGTAACTGTTGTATATGTCGGCTTAATTTATCACAAACCAAATGCATTTTTTAGTTATCAATGAAGGTTCGTATCAATTATATTGATGGTTTATAATTATATAAACTGTACATGTAATGGAAAAATAAGTGTTTTGAAATTTTAAAAAATAATTTATACTTCTGTAAATACTCTGCCTTAGACTTAGACTCTTAGCCACATTATATTTGGTGATAGTCATATTTGGTTTACACTTAGATTGTTAAATATTTTACAATTAGAAAAGTACTAATTGCATAATTGCAAACTTTACAAGAAATCCATTAAAATATCTTAGATATTAATGGTAATTTTTCCCACTGATGGAGTTCTATAACCTATACAGGGCCGGTGCTAAGATGCTGGGGGCCTTCGGCATATTGAATTTTGTAGGGCCGCTGATGTTACATACCCGGTCGATAGGATATTGCGACACGTTATAGTAGGATATTGCGTCACGTCATAGTCATACTGGGTCTTACTGGTCATAATGAAACACATCATACGGGGTATATGTTCACTTGCTTAGTTTCCAAATTTCTTTCTTTTTTTTCTTCTTTTTTTTTTACAAACAGATGAATTGCCCTAATGACTCGTTTGTGGCACATTTTGGCTCAGTTGATGCTAATCTCATGGTTTTCAAAAACGAATTTTGAAAAACAAAACTGAATGACCTATACACTTTCAAAGAGACAGTATAAATGTAAAATAATATTTCTTTTCAGACAATAATCAGGGAGCTAATTAAACAGAAAAAAAAAAGTAAAACAAAGATGTAGTGTGACTACTAATCACAGAAATTGGGATCATTATTTATTTTAAATCTGGAATCACAAGAGAAATAAACTTGTGTTAGGATTCGGCAATACTCCACTTAGATCCACCATCTCAATAATGGAATGGCATAATACTTCTTGAGAAGGTTGAGAAAAACAATCATTTTTATTGAAGCTATAGGATTGTAATTCTCAGGCAAAAAACGCAAGGCAGAATTATAAATAAAATATACACAATGGCTTTTAGCGCACAATCACTTTTCATTCATTTGACAATTTAGCCTTTCCTTCAATTGAATCTGAGATATTGATGATCTCAATTTAGTTTTTATTTTGTTTCTCTATCAAAGCATTCTGCAACCAATCTGCTAGCGGCACATGATTCAAAGACAATTTAATGCGGTATTTGCTTATTCTTGAATCATTTTTCTCAGGACCTTGAGTACTTCTGGTAAGTCCAAGCTATCTACACCCTGTGAATCACCACTTCTCAATCCCATGTCCAAATCCACCTAGTGTTTGCTCACATTATCCGGAGTCATGATACAAAGTTTGCTGGATATCATAGAGAAAGTCATAAAAAGTCAACATACAATTGTAGTTGCTGCAAACATTTCTTCAAGGATACCTGTGCCTAGTCTACTAAACTTCATTCTATCCTGGAACATTCTATCTTCAGTCTATCCTGGAAATATTCTATCCTGGAACATTCTTCAGGCATCTGTTGTGTCTTGTCTTTAGATTCTATGGAAAATGCCTCTTTCTTTGCCTACTTCGCCATTCTTTAAAAACTGGTTCATTGTTCGTTTTTGATACAGTTACCATTGCAATGGTCATTGCTAATGCAAATCTTTCTCAGTATTTGGTGAAGAAATGAATTAAACCTTGGACAAGAGTTATGGCTAAATCAAGTTGCATTGAGGTCTTTGTATGATTGACCTTGAAGGGAACTGGACAGGCTGACTTCCTGCTCATCTTGTACTTTCAAATATTGTTTTGACTGGAAATGACAAACTAGGATTAGTCACAGCATGACTATAAAAATAATATGTAATATTATAGGCTTTGCACAGAGCCTTGGCCAGTCAACCTTTTCACCATCCTTATCTCCGGCCCTGTCCTATAAATCTTTGTTGAATGATGCTAGTTTTAAAAATTAGTTGCACAATCTGTGCATCTAATTAGAATTCAGCATTTTGAAGTTGATTTCAAGGGAAATGAGAATGTAATTGTTTACTTATTGATGTCACATGTTACTTTCTGACATAAGATAGAAAATAATTTGACAGGAACGTTCCATTGCTAATGACTAGACTTTAATTATGGCACAGGATTAGAAAAACCTTAAAATTTCTTCTGTCAACTCAAGTATCTACCTTTATTGCATTATTGTGGTGATATAGGATAGGAGCAATTGGTTTTTATTTTGTTGCTCAAAAAGATAAGAAAGAAAAGTTCTCAGTTTGTCAAAATTTATTTCCTCAGGCAACATGAAACCTGATATGGGACTTTTATAGACAAGAATGAAATGGTTCTTAGATTGTAATTCTTTAAAATGCCACATTTTCTTGCTGTAATATACTTAAAAGAAAACATGTGTTACATTTGAGTGAGGATTATTACAGAACAGTGAACATAAAGTTATAAATATTGCTCACTTCTTAACAAGTGTTTTGGATCAGTGGCACATTGTGTTGATATGGATGATCATACTTGAATCTCTGTTTGAAAGACACAAGGAAAGGTGCTGGAAGAAAACACCAAACTGGTTGAAATCCATTACAAAAACATTGGTAAAGGCATGTGTGATGACATCACTGATATGTTATGCATTTAACAATATATTTTCCTGGGACTATTAGCATAATCTAATTAAAAACAAATATGTATTAAATTTACATATGTTATAAAAAATTGTATTCAATATATTGAGGTTTGTAAAATAATTTTGATGAAGGTGGTGTGAGGAGGACCAGAGTATCTTAGTTTTGTGACAGTTTATGATTTAGTGAAAACTGTTTGAAGAAAAGCAATAGCAAAAAGGCATACCAGTAATACCAGTTGGTGAAAGAACTAACCACTGCAAAGCAAGGGCTTAGTACTACCATACAAACAAAAATGGTAAATGTTTGACCGAGGAAAATGGATTCCTAAAAAGATGGTCTGAATATTGCTCAGAACTGTATAATGAAAATATAAAGATAGACCCAGAGATCCCTAATGTCCCCCCAGCAGCGGACAATGAAAACTGCCCTATCCTCCGTGCAGAAGTGAAAGCAGCAGTCCGAGCACTCCAAATGGAAAGGCAGCAGAAGTGAATAATATCCCTGCCCAGTTGGTGAAACAAGGAGGAGAAGCAATGATAAGTGCCCTAATAAATATTTGTAACAAAATATCGCTGACAGGGGAATGATCCAAATTATGGACCCAATCGCTCATCACCACCCTCCTCAAGAAAGGTAATCTACAGCTCTGCAAAAACTATCGCATCATTAGCCTAATAAGGTGACCAAGCAAGGTCATATTGAACCGACTAAGACCATATGCCAACAGAATCATTGCTGAAAAACAGGTGTGCTTCAGGCAAGGACGTGGCACTACTGAGCAGATCCTAAACCTCGGAATACTATGTGAGAAATATGTTCAACACCAACAAAACCTATACCACGTCTTTGTGGATTTCAAGAAGGCATTCGATAGGGTTTGGCATTCTGCTTTATGGGCCACCATGACGCATTACAATATCAACACAAACCTAACCAGAATTATATGCAGCCTCTATGATAAGGCCACCAGTGCAGTCTTCTTCATCGGAGATTGGTTCAAGACCACGGTTGGAGTACTACAAGGCTGCTTGCTCTCCCCCACCCTGTTCAACATCTTCTTAGAGAGAATTATGTCAGGACAGTCAGCATTGGTGGCAGAGCAATTACCAACCTACGCTTTGCGGATGACATTGACAGACTGGCTGGGAATGAAGAAGAGCTAGCCAACCTAGTAAAGCGTCTCGACTAGGCTTCATCGTCCTTTGGCATGCAAATCAGTGCAGAAAAGACAAAAATGATGACAAATAACTCCACTGGTATCTCCATTGAATTTAAGGTTTTGGGGAGGAAAGATTAGAGACAGTGTGCGACCTAAAGTACTTAGGAGAAATAGCCTCGGAAGAAGACTCCAAGCCCAAATTGATGTCCAGGATTGCCCAGACCACAGTAGCACTAAATATGGAATGACAAAAATATAGCCCCCAGCACCAAAAATCAGACCGATGCGCTCATTAGTCCTCTCCATTTTCTTGTATGCCTGTGAGTCCTGGACTATATCAGAAGAACTTGAAAGAAAAATAAAGGCAATGGAGATGAGATGTTTCAGAAGCATTCTTGAAATCTGCTATAGAGACCATATCTGTAATGAACAAGTGAAAGAAAGGATTCAACAAGCAATTGGGCAGTATGATGACCACCGGGTGACTGTAAAAAAAGTGCAAACTGGAATGGTTTGGCCATGTAACAAGAAAACAAGGCTCGCCAAAGAAATCATGCAGGGCACGAGAGGAAGGAGAAAAAGAGCAAGACAGAAGAAAAGATGGGAAGATAACACCAAAGAGTGGACAGGACTAAAATTAGGCGATGCTGTGCGAAGTGCAGAAAACAGAGAGGAATGGAGAAGGATAGTTTTCATGTCATCTGTGGCACCCCAACGGTCCAAGGACTAAGGGACATGATGATGGTGATGATGAGGACGTGACTGCTATGTACAAAGTATTGCAACATCATGCATTGTACTTGATTACAAAAAACCTTAGATAAAAAAAAGTTCAATCATTAATAGTATTTGCATTTCATCAACTATTGCTAATTGATATTAAATTTAATACAATATCTTGTTTTACAATTTAGCTTTACCACACTCATTCTGTACCAGTATTTATAATGTTTTTGAAGTTCAAGAGTATTAAACATACCCAGTTTCATAATTTATTATAATTTCTTTTAAAAACTTTTATACATACATACATACATATATATATATATATATTTNTATATATATATAAATATATAAATATAAACAAATATATGTGCCTATTCATAATTTGAAGTGATGGAACTGAAATAATTTTATGTGCCATTGATAAAAATGGAGCAAAAATGATAATTGCAATTTTGTTTAAAAAGATAAGTTTAATAACTAATTGAAATAAAAGATAACACAATGAAAAATTCGAGTGTGATGCATTGATATTCAGAATAGATTGGTGTATTTAGAATATTAGTTACTATTTATGATGTAATATGTTTAATGATTTTAGGAATCTCCAGTTTATGTTTAACTGAATTGTACTTCCTATTTTATTAACTTATTAATGTGTGTGTGTATGATATACATATTATTTTAAGTTAGCTACAAAGGTTACACCAATGACTTTGTCAATCAATTCTAATTGTGAATTTAATCCTATATATACAGCAAATGCTGTGCATTTGAAATACTATTTAAACTATATATTAAAAAGAAAATAGCATTTAAATTTGAATGTAATCCATTTTAAATTGATGCAGGCATCAATTAATTTTGGTTGTTAATTTTTAAGCGTTTATTCTATGTAATTAAATTTTCCAAACTGCATTATTTTTAATAACAATAAACCAGGGGTCCTCAAACTTTTTTTAAACAAATGACTGGACCATTGTTAACGCATTCATTTTAACTTAATTCATGGAAATATATGCTGCAATCATAACCAAGGCTGAAAGCAGCACCTTGCTGGTTGTTCCTGCCTTTAAAAATATATAAGTTTTTATGCAGTTTGATTAGCAGCAGTAAAAAAAAAAACTCTAGTGAATTTTGTTTGGGCATTACTTGCGTTGGTTTTATGTTTTTGTATATGTCTTTTAAAAAAGATTAAACGAATAAAACCACAATAATTTAATTATTTAATTATTTTAATTACATTACCATTTCATTTACACGGGGGGGGGGGGG